AGTACACAAAAAATAACTTTTATTTACTTTTATTGTAACCATTAAAACGAGTACATATTCAGTTATGTATATATGTATGTATTATTTAAATGAATATACATATGTATGTACATAAAATAAAGTGAATGGAAATGGGTTCCGTTTCTTAAGTTAATTTGTTTTTTTTTTTTAATACAATACGTATCGAGGGCTTATATCCAATACCCTCTATCTGCACTTTTCACAAAAATGAGATTCTGATATAAAAATCCACCTCAGACTTAACTCTCATCGGTTATATTAATGCTGACCTTGTATAACGTTTGACAGAAGAATTTACTATTAAATTACAAAGTCACAACTAACATTTGTGACGACAGGTCGGGTCTACGTAACCGGAACGACCCAGATTTATATCTGGCCAAGGACTGTCACTCCAGCAACACTCCCCAAAATCTCTTTGGGGAATTTGTATGCTGTTACAACAACAAGATGGGTTCTAAAAAGTCAAAATATTTTTTATGAAAATTGCAGATAAAGGGGTTGAATACTTGAATACTTGAAGGGTAATTAAAAAAATTTAAATACTTTAACGTTCTTAATTTTATATAAAAGTACAGCTCTTTATCTAACGAATACCATATAAATCCAAACTTCATACTTTGTACAAAAAATTCTAAATAATATTAAATATTCCTTTTCATCCCAATTCCAAGCATTTTAATTTTAATTTCTACAATAATTTTTGGTATGCAGTTTTATTGTTTATTATATTCTGGATAAAGTGCAAGTTTGAAGTGGCTAAAAAATCGCGTTAATTTTTGATAATTTTTTTGGTGCCAATATCACGCGTTTTCTTCCATACAAAGTAATATTTTATACGAAAAAAAGTGCATAACACCGTCAGAAAAAAATTATAAAAAATCATTGCTATTCATCTGTTTGTTAAAGTGATTTTACACGACATGCGTTTGCATCTGTAAATGCTACTTTTTACATATGGAAAGGCATACATGCACAAAGCAGATGCACGTACAGACGAACTAGAAACGTGAAATTTAATTTCCATCTGGCATAGAGATAGATTCTTTTGTGTTAGGTTTATTTCGTTTTCAAAGAACTTGCAAATACATACCGTGTAAAGCAATTTTCATATCTTCTTGTAGACGTAAATGTTTTTGTACAATCAATATTTACTATTCATACATCAACGAAAACATGCAATGCAAATAAGTAATCTCGAATCTTTGGGGAACATGAACACGTACAATTCTTTAACCAGGAAACAGGAAATCGGTATTTTGCAAGCGCTGAACTTATACTGGAATCTTGCATTTTTATTCTGTTATGTAAGTCGACGAGCTTCACTTGGTGTTGTTGCTAAGAGCCTGCACAATGTATTTTAAAATTTAATTCAAATTACATATATATATATATGTATCAAATAATTTGAAATAAGACATCTTACTTATGCTGTGATCCTGTTTGTTGTACCTGTTGCTTGATAGTATTTTGCAAATGATTTGGGTACGGTAAATTATTTGTAGAACGATTTTGGATCGCTTTGCCCAAACGCGTGACCCGAATCAAAAACTTTTACATACACTTGTAGACAAGAGTCTACGATGTATTTAACAGAAAAAAAAATACTATTCCTGTACACTAACTTATTAATAATTTGGGTTTGAATTATGTTATTTCTTGCAAATTTCCGAGCTGAGCTGTCCCGACGTTTTCTCAATTCCAGATGATTCACACGCTGTATAACACTGGGGTGTGGGGTATTCTGGATTAGGATACTGAAAATTAACTGATTTACAACGCAAAAATATTATTTACTTACTTAAAAGGATGTTTTTAGAACACAACGTGCCCTGTTGCAACTATTGCAGCTCAATAACAAATATGTAATGTTATAAAAACAAAGCCGTCCATTCAGGTCACCCGTACCTTTATGAAATTTAGAAACTCATCCTTCAAATGTTTCCGCAGCAGTGCTTTAATCTGAAAATGTTAATTTATTAATAAACATTTGATTGA